AATGGGCGAACATCATGTTTGTTTCCTTGGGTAAAGTATATGCTTTACTTTGTTGTTACCAAAAAAAAAACCTGAGTGCCGATAAAAAAGGGATTTAGGTATCTTTAATTTTGCACTGGCAATGATTTAGCATCAAAGCAGATTGTTAATGTTGCATTTGAACATGAAACATATTATAGATCAACTTTATTATATTTGCTGACATCATCAAAGGAAACGGAAAACCTATGGGGAAGGCTAGAGCTGTTTATCCAGCAAAGCCCATTGTTTTATTGCTTTGTAGAAAAGCTTCTACCTATCTGTTCTAGCTATAATTCTGTATTTGTGTTTGGGATCCTGCTTTACTTTACCCGCTTGCAAACCTTATCCATGAAGAAGTTAGCAATATATACTGGATTTAAGACTTTAGCCTTACACAGCTAAGCCTAGGCTGCGAGTGAACCCTACTGAACAAATGAGAGTCATTGGAGAGAATTGGACTGCAAAAGCTCCTGCCTTACTTTTGTCAATGACTGCTGAAAGAACAGGCAAAAAACAATCTTGTACTAAGGGGCAGGGGATTAATTGAAAATGGGAGTGCCATCATTAAATATATGTCCCGGGCCCCTGGTGTGAACACATCTATAATTCAGCTGTCTATTTCTTCTGTATGTTGTACATAATTCACCCTTGTCTAGAATTTCTAATTTATGAAATACTAATCAAATTTCTCTCAACAGAATATAGATACATTTTTCAAGATTCTTATTTTATGTCTACATTACATTTCAGGGTTTCAAATGTTGTTAGAACAATTCTGTAAAGTTTTAGAACAGATAGATATATCACAATAATCAAGTCTGTTTTTGCTCATATTTTCTGAATTCTTTTTATTTTTTATATCTATGCATCAGCCTGCATTTTTATTTTTATTTACTGTTTATACTCAACTATAAGCCTAGTTTTTCAGCCCCCCTTTTCAGGCTGAAAAAGTCCTCCTTGGCTTATATTCAAGTTAATCTTATTTATTATTTTACTCTGTTATTCATATTATTATTACATTTATTATTTTACTCTATTTATTATTATTGGAAAGATACATAGGCACATTTACATTGAAGAAGGTTAGAATAATGGCTCAATCAGGGTTGGACAGTCTTATCTTAAATTATATTTTTATGTAAATATTCGAAAACATTTAAACTACTGATGCCTCAATTAATGTCAATGTATTGGTATCTATTTTTATTTTGAAACTTACCAGTAGGTGCTGCATTTTTCACCCTCGGCTTATACTTGACTCAATACATTTCCCCAGTTTTTTTGTGACAAAATTAGGTGCCTTGGCTTATATTTGGGTTGGTTTATACTCGAGTATATACGGTAATTTCTATTTTGGTGACTATTGTTTTGTGCTTTATATTCAGCCCTCTTTTTCCTTAAGACTGAAAGGTTGCCCCTTGAAACCTTTCAGCCACAAACAGAAGTGGAAATAATTTTGGAGCAATATGTTAGTGACTTTGGATGGTCATGGGCTAAATTATCCCCTTTGTTTAGAAAGTCATTACCTCCATTTCTGTCTGTCTTGCTCTCTGTTGTCAGACAAATTAGAGGAATTATACATTTATAGATTGGGATAGCCCCTCTCCCCCATTAAGAACAGGTTTATCCATGTTTCTAGTGCTACTATGCTGTGCAATTCCTATCTGGTCTTATCATAGGCATTGAAACTTCCCTTTAAGCTAATTGTCACATGCTTTCTAAAGTTAGTTTCCTGGAAAGTCACATTTCTGCTGGCTGTTACATTGAACAAGAGCCCTTTCACATTACACAACTGCAGCACTTTAATTCCATTTTAACCGGATCCTATGAAATTTGGTAGTTTATACGTATTTGGGAGAGGCATATAGCACTCTGGCTGATAATACTAAATGTACTTCTTCAAACTGCAAATCCCATAATTTTATGGGATGTTGCTATGGTAGATAAAAGTGAAATATAGTATAATTATACAGCAGGACAGGGCCTCCCAGTTAACTATTTATGGTTCAGTACAATCCATCCTTTTAATACAAACCAAGCAGTTTCTAGATCTGGTATTTTCTTTCTTACTGAAATGATGTCCGTATTCCACCTTAACTTTAAAAATCTTCAGTTATGCTCCATTGCCCTTGGAGATTTGCATAATTTGGACATTTTCCAGCAATTGTCTTTCCAACTGGAACCAAGGATTATGGGCAGAGCAGAAGGGTTTTCTTATGCCAGGAGGTCTTAAGAAGGGCTATGTGTTATGCACATTGCAACTCATGCCTTTTTATTCTCCTTCTCTGTCTGTCTGTGCTACCTGATGGCAAAGCTTCTAATACAAGAAAGTATATTCTGTCAGACCCTCATCTACATCCTTCCCCCAAGGTTTTGCACTTGCTGGCATTTGTCATGATCCTATGTCTGTCCTCAATTCTTTGGCTCTGGTAAGTGAGTTTGCTGCTTCGAGCACAGACTCTAAGCAGCAAACTCACTTACTAGAGAAGGTTTCATTAGCTGTAGAATTTGGTTATAGATATCTAAGGGACCATTACACGGCTGCATAGGCCTCAGGAGTTAAAAGGAAGACCCTTCTCTTCGTCCTGCTATTCTCAGAGGCACAATTGTGTGGGGCGTGAAAGAAGGCTTCCTCTTCCTTAAAGATAGACTTTAGGTAATTGGCTGCCTGGTGAAGCAGGGCTCCTTACCAGCTGGGTGTTGTGCTTTTCCTAATGATGTGTTTTAAAATTTAATTTTCAAGTGTATTCGTAATTTAATTATGCTCTAATAGTCACTCTTGTTTAGAGCTTTAGTAGTATTCTTTAATCTAATATTATTGTGATCTGCTCTATGTCCCAGTTTTAAGAGAAAGGTAAAATAGAGATACAGTAAGTGAGTAAAAAGAAAGACGGGTTTAGTTGAAAATGGAAGGGGAGTTTGAAGGGACCTCATTGGTCATGTAGACCAACCCCTTGCTCAATGCCGAATCCCCAGCAATAGCGCCCTTCAGGTGATGTTCAGCCTCTTGTTGAAGATGCCCACAGAAGAAGACCCCCACCAAACAGCTCTGTAGATGACTGATTTAACTCATTGCCAAATAACTCAGACAGTCAAGAAGTTTCTTCTCATGTGCAATCCAAATCTGCTTATCTCTAACTTCAAACCATTAGTATTGGTCCTGCCCTCTGGGACAGCAAAGAACAGGCCTGCTTTCTTCACTCTGTGACAGCTTTTAAGGTACACAAAGAGCACAATAATGTCACCTAGCAGTCTAGTTGGGTGCACTTGTATGAAGTAAATAAGAAATCAGTTAAGTAAGAAGGAAATAATTCTTTCCTTTAAGTACAGTTCTTCAAGTAACAATTTCTGCAATCACACAACATACTTTCCTATTCTGTTTCAAGTGCTGTCGTGCTTCTATTGTCACCTTCCTAACATTTTTTTTCTTATCAACCGCTACTTCAGTAAGAAGTTGACCTAAGCAGAAAGGCTGAAGCTCTGTCTCTGATCTTGCCGTTGGAGTGCAGTGTTTCTGCCAATTATCAGACCCATAGGACTTTCCCAGATGAAACTCTGCATGGTTATGAAGTCCATATATGGGATCCCATAGGAGACCTGCAGTTATGACTTTTTAAAGTCAGCAACCTTTCAAAAGAAGATGCTGTGATTGACCTTTTATTGTTTATTGAATAAATAGCCATAGGAGGGGGTGGGAGTCAATATATGTTGCTATGGAAAGGAGTACATTGCACTTCTACTTGAAAGACAGGATTTGCTTGCCTAGTTTTATTACTTGAGAGGAGAACCGCCTTCAGTATGGCCAGATAGCTAAAAACCCAGACATGTTTTTTTCTTTAGTGAACATAGTTGCAATGGACAGCAGAGGTGGAGGGCCTGGCCAATAGTAAGTTAACCTATTACAGAATGGTAAGTTAACCTATTACAGAAAGGAGGACTGCAGAAAGGAAAAGTGAAAGGTGAGAGTTTAATGCTTAGTTGAGTTTGCAGTTTGGAATGAGAACTGGAAGTGAAAAATGTCCAGAAAAAAAGGGTTACAAATTGACATGACATGTAATGCAGAGAGAAAATATGTAACTTACTTTATGTTTACTGTTACAAAACTCCACTATGTAACAAAAAATTCTGTTCCTAGTTTGATCATGTTATCTCCTGTTCAACTGTGTGGTACTTACTTTGAAAGTAGTTGCTATACTCCAGAAACTTCGTTTTTGTGGCTGCCACAAATTATGTTGAATTGGTTGAGACTCAGTGAGATATTCATTGAAAAACTATAGCAAAATGTGTGGCAGGATATCCCGCAAAAACAAAGTTTTTGCAGTTTAATAAAAGTCCCCTGTTTTTATGATCGAACTAATTAGGAAATGACAAGTATAACCCAGGGACAAAAATGGTGTTACATAGTGAAAAACCATGTTCTTTGCAGTTGTTTAACTTCCACCTAAATTGTTTTGCTTAAAAAATGGCCTGCATCTCTTCCACAAAATTAAGAGCCCTGAAAACATACACACTTGTCTACATTTAAGGCCACCTTACACTTCTATACTGCAGGCATTGGCAGAGAGCACTTTTTGTCCCTGACTCCCCCAGTTCCAGGCCGCACTGTTATCCACTGTTGTTTCTAAAGTGTTTACGAAATTGGATGGGGTCCGTATCGTAACTATAACTAGTTAACTACTTTTTTGTTATTTTTCATTAAGTAATTGTGCCAATAGGGAAACTTGAGGGGCTCCCATCTCCTTCATTGTTAAAGCTATTGGCATGAAACTTGCTATGATTATGGAACACATTTACCATGGTTTGCCCATCAAGTTTCAGAACATTTCACATATTCATGGAGCTGTCTCCTTGAATTTTCTGTACAATGACACAAGACAACACAGTGTGCAGTCCAGGAAAAGTGCTCCTTGATACCATAATGGATCAATGCAATTCTTGACAGTCATGTATTCACTAAAACGTTCTTTTCTTTTTTTTAGTTGCAACCAGAACAGTTGGATTGTGGTGCGGCCCATCTCCAGCATCCCCTGTCGATCTTGCAGCCTATCAAAGCCAGACCAATGTTCACTTCACCTGGATTGACTTCAGTGGCAGTTTCTAGCATCAACAATTACACAGTTGTGTTTCTGGGAACAGCCAATGGGAGACTGCTTAAGGTAAACATCACAGGACACCAAAGAGTTAATGGAACATCTTAAACATCACAAACAATTATAGAACATGGCATCTTTCCACTATGTACCCTTTGGCAACAGGCCCTTGACAATAGACAGCTACGCTGAGACAATTTGAAAGCTGTTAAACTGCCACCTCTTCTTTATGTAACTTTCATACATAGTAAACAGGGTCAAGTTGGCTTGATACTTAACATGGGTGGCTGCCAGGTAGCTCTTGAATTCAGAAAGGAGGAAGGAAGTGGTTTCTGTGATTCATGTCCAGTCTAATGATATAAGACAGAGAACCACTAAGCTGCTGGCACTGTCCGTACATTCTGCATTTAATTTAGCTGTGATCCCACAATTTACCTTATACAGGTATAAGTCAGATGTGTTCCTGGGCATTACCTCTTTAACAGATAATTCAGTAAGGGAGGCAAAAATAACAGAAAGAATTAGGATAGGTTGCTATGCCACAAAAAGGAAGAACAATTAAATGTTTTAGCAGACTTTTTCTCCCAAAGTAGCAAATATACACCTGAAATGAAACAGCCAGCTTAAGTAAATCTTGCATAAGTAAACCAAAAGATGTTAAACTGTCTGGAGATTCTTTAAGATCATTTTTCTAAATGTATTCAGCAATGCATTCTTTCAACAGCCTTTACTTTTCCTGTCATTTCTTACTCATTTGTTTACTTTTTATCTCACCTTTCTCTCAAAATGGGAACTTAAGACAGATCTCCATTCTCATGGCCAAATTTACCAATCTCTGTTTTTTTTACATACTGGATGTGGGGCACCTGGTAAGCCAGGCTTATCCGTTCTTCCTTTTCTCTCTGTTCTGCTGGTCAAACATGTTTAGTTAAGGGATCATGGAGGTAGCTGCTGCTTACTTTGCCTGTTGTAGATATGCACACACAGATTCTGCTGGACCAAAATTTTAATTTTTTTCAAGCTCGAGCTTTTATTCCATTGTTTCCAGCAGACACACTGCAATAACTGAACACAGAAAGTCTGTGTTTCTCCAGCCTTCCTGTACTCTCCTCTCAGTGCTGATGCTACTAAAAAATCCTTTCAGCTATACAGATGACAAGGAAGGAATAGGGCTGAGTGGGAATAAAAAGATTTAACAAAATGGAGACTGTTAACTCGGGATGCTTCTACTGAAATTCAGGAAAATCATGCCCCTAATGAAATGAGCTTTCATTCAAAGAAGCTCATGATATAATAAATCTGTTACTCTTTAAAGTGATGCAAGTTTCTTTCAATTATTTCCACAGTAGATTTTGAAAGTAGCTATACAACATCCTGAGTGCTTGCTGTTGTTAAGGATCCCATGCACTTCTCATAAATAGTAATATTGCTAGTTTATGCACTCTGGGTAAATAAAATTTTGTGCAGTTGTATTTTCTAAACCCCAAAGTCCCCAAGCAATTTCTTGGATGTACAGTAATATTTGATTATTTGGCCATGTCTTTTGAAAGTTTTAGATCAACCAAATTTCTCTCCCACCAGCCTATTTAGTGTGCTATTCTTGCAAAAGATTAGATAAGCACATCAACATTGTGTTGTAGGCCAGGCATAAGATTTAATTAAAGCAGTTAGGTCAGTTGGAGTGTGTCTGTATGAATCAGGATCATTAATGAACCAACTACAGTCTTGGATAAATGCCAGATTCTTTGGAATTTAAACAAAGATAAGAAACACCACCATGATCAATCAAGGCAGAGGAAGAGGAAAATCATCAGCCTCATTTTGTGGGATGTGAGTATGAGATAACCTATAATAACCTAGGCACATGATCTCTAGGTAACTCTCCTTGGTAAGGTTAGATGGCAGACAGTCAGAAGTTCAGTGTACAAAAGATAGAGTTTAAGGTAAGAGATATGTTGCAAAGGTATGGTTTGTGTTGATTGGTCAAATGACAGCGGGCATAAAGAGAGAACCAAAAGAATCAGAGAAAAAGCTCTTATCAGAAATTAACACTTGAATGCTTATGTTTCACAGAAGGTATTCACAATTACTTATTTATTTACAACATTTCTACCCTGCCCTTCTCAATCCCCAAGGGGGGACTCAAAGCAACTACAATTTGATGCCACAATATCACAATGAACAACAATATAAAAACCATAAATGTACAATAATAGCCATTTCCATTATTATAACAATCATATGGTCCAGTTCAGAGTCCAAAGTGTCGTTATGTCTGCTAGCCAAAGGCCTGGTTCCACAGCCATGATTTCAGTTCTTTCCAAAAGCCTAGCAGACATAATGGCACTTTGGAGCTGTGTAATGCCTCAAACCTGAATGAAAGATAGGCTAAATTTAGGGATGACTAGAAGGGCTACATTATGTGGTGTAATAGATCATTGTTACCTATTCTGTTAAAGAGCATCTTGGTGGCCATATGGTGATGTAATGAATCAATGTAATGGAGTGCAATGAATTTTAGGTACCCAGACATTGCTATGCCTGTGTTTCTTCCTAAAGAATTGTTATGTATATAGAACTATAAATAGCCTAATCAGTCAGAAGAGTCTGCTCAATTCCCATATAAATATTCCCAAATTCCAAGACTTAAGAGTGCTTAAGTGGGATATTGATGTGAACTTAGTCTGTTTGGTTTCACCATTATCATGAGTTGGGCACTTAGGGGACCAGGAGTTGATAAAGATTACTCCAGACAGAATCCAGAATTATCTGACAACAGGCCCGTAGCCAGGATTTTGATTGGGGGGGGGGGCTGAGTTTTGGGATTGGAGGGGTGAGTTTGATTCAGGGGGAGGGGGCTGAGGATCTACCCTAGCAAACCTTTTGTATCATTATCCCAATACCCCCATGCGTATGGGATATATTGAGCATGGTGATCAGATCATGATATGAATAAACATAACAGTTTAAATAATGTACCAGTAAGGCCTTCTCGCAGACCACCCTGAAAAATTGGGGGGGAAATTTTTGGCATTTTAGAATATGAACCTGTGCTGAAACTACTTTTTTATCCCACACAATGAATGCTTATCTACTAGACCTTGTGTGTGTGGGAAAGTGGTGGAATGGGCTGTTGAACTATTCAACTTCTTTATAGCTCATCAGTTACTCTGCTTGGGAGATTCACTGCAATCTCTCATATTTCCTAATAGTTCAGAGTTAAATCATATTGATAGGACAGCGTGGTCAAAGTTGTGCTGATGTAGAGCATACTTGATCAGACAACCGATGATATAATTAAGAAATCCCTACTTGATAAATGTAAAACTTGCATGTTAGTCCATGACTCTTCACTAAAACAGAGGGGGGGGGGAAATCACTTGAGAAGCTCAATGCATATGCTTTTATTCTTCAATAAAAAAGCAATTGGGTGTGATTTTAAGCTCTATAGTGATATACAATATCTGCTAATTTTTAACTTTTAATCAGCATTTGTGGCTGTAGCGCAATCAAGATGCCATTTAATATATTACAGAAATAAATGCCTGCAGTTGAAATGCTATTGCAGAGCTTTTAGTTATTAACAATGACCTCTTATAAATTGTGCCCTGCCTTGATTGGTACTTGTAAAACACACAAGCAGATGCACACGCGCACATACACATCTATGCTGATGCACCCCCTCCTTGGAATAACACTTATTAGTCCTCCCCGTTGCTTAGCTATAGAAGTGGTGTTGGAAGAATGTATGTAATATGCCTATTTAACCTATCTTGAAACAATAGAAGCCACGATTTAAGACATGATAAATGCATCAAGTCAAGAACAACCACAAGCTGCAACAATCCCTATGTTACTTACTGAATAACAGGTTTGCCACTCGAAATTGCCATTCATTGTAGCTGCTTCAATAGTAAACCTATTAAGTAGATGTCACCCCTTAAGGAAAGACATGTCCAGAATCTGTTTTGTATCAGCCTGGAGATAATAACACGTAATGTGGACTATTAGATCAAAATAGGGGAGTCGAACAGAAGGGAATCCAATTTCTTCCACTGCTCTCCAAATGTTCCTAAGCAGGAAGGTGGGAAAGATATCTGAGGTTCTCTGGTTTGATATTTGCTTGAAGGCAGGGTTACTCAACAGAGCGCTAAGCATCTGACATCCAAATCGGCAGCGCAGGACAGTGGCTGCAGATACATTCCTCATATCATTAGTGTTCACACGATAGTAACAGTCCTTCTTCCATTATCATATCAGTTTTATCTGCTAAACCTCCATTAGAGAGAGGCTCCTGGCTGCTCTTTGCTAGGATAATTTGTCCAGATAACTGTAATCTAATTCTACTACACAGCTGCACAACCAGAAGCTTTTTTACCTTGGGGGCTCCTTGTGACTTGGCATGGAATACAGAGTACTTGGTATGAGTTACAGTTCAGGTTTTCCACCCAAGACAAGAGAATAAAAGAGGCAGAAGCAATGCTTGGCCAGTTCCCCAAGGAGCAATTACGATTTCCTATCACATAGGGAATTAACCTGATCCGGTAAATTTTAAAGTACACCACAGAATGACATTTCACAGAGCCCATTGTCAATGGCATATTCAAGAGATCAATAAACAAACAAAAAGGAAGTGTGAAGCAGCCATGTTTCCAGAATTGTGTGACAGGAGAGTATATTTGAGCAGTCCATGTGGAGATACATCATTTTGGCTAAGAAATAATGGTAATATATTCTATATATTAACTATGTTATAATATATTTTGCTAAGCCTTTGCATTGTTTTGGAAACACAGGACCGTGCTAGTTGCATTCTAAAAATATTTCAAAGATGTCCTCCAAATTTCTGCCTTCATGGTACTTAGTTCTAGCCTAGGCAAATCAAGGTTAGCTTTACTTCTGATTGTCTTATCCAAGTGTCCTCTTTATGGTAATTCATCATTATAAAAAACTAAATTGTTGTGTTTTAATTGAGAAACATACTGCCTTGTAATGTCCTGTTACATGTGCGTGTAGTATCTACACATTGTGGTGATACTTTTGTGCGATTAGTCAGGAGGCTTTTCTGCCTCTATAAACTGTTCACCACAATTACACTTGAAGCCAGATACAGATAGGCAATACTTTCACTTTGCATTCGCTACATGATTTTTTTTTTACCATCTTTGTCTGATGAAGATGTCATTGGGCTTTGAAAATAATAATAAAACTATAATAATAATAAAAGTTTATTTATATTCCGCTCTATCTCCCCAAATGGACTCATTATATATTTTGCATGTTTCTGTTAGCCTAATAAGTCTAGAAAATTTAGTTGAAAAGTCAACCCTAAAAGCCTGGGTTAATTTATCCACAGGTCTGTTTGAGTACTGTATCTTATTTCTTACTAAATAGAAACTATTCACTTTTCTGAGTAGCGAAAGGCAAGAGCTTAGTCCATCCCAGGAGTACATGAAAGATGCAACTGTCTCTGTCATGGTGCTACTTCTGGCCCTTTTGAATATCTGGGCAAGAAAATGGTAGCATTGGCTAGGAGCAACTGCCCACCCCTGTATTGGCATTGATGCTTTCCCCTCTCTGTGGAATGATCCTCAGTTTATTCATCATATCAAAATGTGATCATTTTGACACCAAAACCTGCCCTCGACTTTTGCATGACATTAACATATGCACTTATGTTTTCCTTTTTCCACACACACAAAAGAGCTGCTGATCTTATGGTGATCTGTTTCTTTCAGATAAACTTCAACAGCTTTATGGATGTGATGAGCAGAGAATCAATTACTGTTGCTTTTGGTGAGCCTGTCCACCCCATCATGCAGTTTGATCCTTCTGATTCTAGTTATCTGTATTTAATGACATCTCATCAGGTAAGACTCTTTCGCAGAACGTGTTCTCTCAATACCATGAAATCACTCAGTAGAACTAGGAAAGAATGTAAATATTATGGACTTCTGTGGAGCCTGATCAGGGACCAAGTTTATCCATATTCTCACTATATCATTTATACCTTTTGAATTTTCAACCTCTAGTCAGCTGATATTATAAAACCCACAAAATATCCTGAAAGGAAATGTTTTTGGCATAGTTGCCTACTTGGTAATATCTTGGTAATATTGTGGTACTATACTTCCATTTTAAAATATTCAGGTACCTCTTTCAGTGTTTTTAGTCTAGTTCCGAATAGTTTTCATTGCCTATTTTTGGATATAGTAAAAGTAAATAATACATTTTTCTAGTTGTCACTGAATTTCAGAACACTTTCATTGTGCTAAAATGGTCATTACATTAAAAAAATTCTCAGTACACAGTTGGTCTGTGTAATCAAATAGATACATGGTGCATTATAGATAATTGTCTTGTACATAACGAGTTCTCTTTTTTGTATAATTACTTCTTTCATAGTGCCTCAAAACTGCTAGCTGAAAAGAAACTAAATTTCAAAGCACTAGTGATCTAACCTGCATTCCTTTTGAAATTGCTGAAACAGATGTGCAACCAATAATTTTGTAGTTGGCATTTAAATCCTCCAGCTGTAATTTCTTCCATAGCGCCCACTCCCAATTTACAGAACTCATATAAGATTCTGTTGAGGATGATATAATTTTTTGCTGAATCCTATCACTATCTCAGAACACAACAGTTTACCCAGCATAGTCATATTATCCTGTCAACGAACATTTAGAATACAAGCATTTATTGATACAATTTGTCTCTTCTCCGATTACCATAAGGGGGTGTCTACATCAGTAGAAAACTCTGGGGCGGGTGTAGAGTGGCTCACTTCACTTTCCGCCCCTTTCCCGTTGCAGCGTTGTGCCCTGCATTAGGGAAAGTCAGGGAACATTTGGAGCATTTCCTGACTTTGCCCAACATAGGTGCAGCCCCACAGGGTAATGTGAACAGTTCTGTTCAGATGCCACCTAGCTGGTTTACCCACACACTACAGTGCACTGACCATTTAATGCAGTTTCAAACCAGTATTAAGGAAAGTGGCTTCGCTATGCAGATGATTACATAAGAAATCCTGTTGAGTCCCAGATGGTAGTTACACAAGCTACAGAGCATTGGTGCATATTAAAGGCTTTCTTTCACATACCTTCATGAGAGTTTGCTTTCTGGATGGCACACCTTGACAGTCACTCTTACTTTGTCCAAAATTCATTTCCATAGTAGCCTCGGAGCTGCAGAGAACTTGGTGCCATCCCTCAGTTCTTGTGGGTTTTTTAGGCTATATGGCCATGTTCTAGAGGCATGAACATGGCCATATAGCCCGAAAAAACCCACAAGAACGGAGTGATTCCAGCCATGAAAGCCTTCGACAATACTTGGTGCCATCGTTTGGCACCCTTGCTGATGTAGTGCAAAGGCACACTTTGAACTTAGTTTTGAAGTGCATGAAATGATCCAAGTGTTGGAAATAACCTTCTACAAGTCTCCTATACTAGTTATTTGTTATATATATAATTCAGATTGCTTAATGTATTGTATGTGTGTGATTTGGTATGCAGTTTTCCTTAACTCTATGTTGTTTGAGGTTGTGGGAGAGATTGCAGACCCTGTGATCAGATCTGGGACTTTTCAGACTAAGACTTCATTTTAGAAGTCAGTGCGTGTATTGTATAGTTAGTGCTTGTTATGCATTAGACATAAGACAGAAAAGAGATTGCAACAAAATGCCTTAGAGAACTTATTGTTTAAACTTTCAACTGATAAGCAGTGAACCTATATGTTGAATACACGAAAGTTTGTAAGTAAACCAACTATGTTACTTTTAATGAAGAGTACTTATTTTTTCTCTGGAGAGCATGAGTTAAAACCAAATATATTTTATGGGAGAGTAGATGTTTTTGGACAAGTAAAATAACACTTCTGAAGATCTGCTATATATTTTGTGCATTGGCATAATCTTTGTTCCCAGCAGTTCAAAGATATAACCAGTTTATCAGTCTAACAACTGAGAAACCTAATTTGCTTTGCGTGAATACTAGTGGATATTTACCACTAAAGAGAAGATTCATTCAAATGAGTTTTTAGCTTTTCTCAGAAAGATCATACTTTACAAAATGATTATGATATTCCAAATAGTAGTGAATGTCAAAAGGGTCACACTTCCCAAAGGCTTTGGAGATTCGTGTTTTCCAAAAGGTTATTATCTCAAAGGTCATCCTTTTCCCAAAACCATGTAGATGGGTCCTGAGTATATGGGGAAAGATTCACAAGAAAGAAGTACAAAGTTTAGCCATTATATAACAGTATACTTTTTGAATGAGGGCACTGCTGGTGGCAGTACAAGAGAATGTATTACTTCTGAGTGGTTTAAGATAAATATTCTGAGGGCTGGAGAAATTGATCCACTTGGCATATCATGATAGTGTTGCATATGCTCTTCTCAAGTTAGAGGTTTATAAAGTAGAGCAAACATAGGACAGAAAGTCAGGTTGTTTCTGTATTTGGAAAATTACATTAAAATCGCTTCACAGTTTGGAAATTCACTGAATGCTCTTGGGCAATTCACCATCTCCTTCCTTAATCTACTTCCAGTGGATTGTTGCAAGGCTAGAAATTGCTGCTCTAAGCCCTTGCAAGGAAGGCGGGATACTTATAACAGATATCTGAAAATATCCAAAACTATTCATATGCAGCCTGATGGACATATTACTGAAACTGTTTTCATATTTCTTTTAACAAAACAGAAAAAACAGAAGTTGCCAAGAGCCTTCATGACCATTTTAAGGATGACACTTAAAAAAAAGAAAGAAAAAGAAATATAGAAATTTTCTTGTCAAACGTTCATTAATGTTCTTATCCAGATAACTAAACATTGTGCAGATAAAAGACAGGTTCCATTTTTCCATTAGCACGTTCCATTTCTTACACTTCCCATATGAAGGATTCAAGACGAATAGCAACTTTTAGATCTATA